TAACGATAATAATAATAATAATAATAATAATAATAATAATAATAATAACGATAATAATAATAATAATAATGCAGTCATTTATAGAGTGCTCTTATCAAGGATATCACAGTTCTTTACAAAACAAAGGTAAAAGTTGGATATGTTTGAGTATTTAAATATTAAATAAATGACTCTTCAGGGAAGATTCGAACTGTTCGATTGATGTAGAGCGACGTTCCGTAAACAATGGTCCGCAGCCTAAAATTTTAGCCGCGAAACATTTTTGGAGGGCCGCGAAGTCTGGAAATTGAGAGACAATACACTACGTGCATTATGAGACGTCTATTGTTGAATACACCCTGAATTCATAGATTTTTCCTACTTTGCTATCGACAATTAATAATTATGTTGATGAAGAAGATGATGATGATGATGAGGAGGAAGCTGTGCAAGATTAATTAGCAGGCCCTTTGATGTGAAGTGTCAAGCGAAGCCCGTAGCCTAAGTTACGGTTGGGAATTTGGAGACATTATCGTTGTCGTCGTCAAATGTTGAATGCACACTGTCGGACAATAATGATTTATGATATCTGTTTTGTATAGTAAGTAATCTGATACCCATAAAATATCAGTTCAGGCATTCATTTATATGTCTGTGGAAAATCATACAAAATATAAAGAATTCAAATAAAATTTAAAATATGTAAAAGACACACTACACTAAATCAAATTGGAATATCCACTGCCTGTTGGATCCCAGTTTTAGTATTGGAGGCTTCACAGTATAACCAATCCTCACATTTCTGATAGATTGCTGATTAAAATGTAAAATATTTAATATTTTATATTCAGTACATTCTCAAATGTTAGGTAAATCTCATATATCTCAAAATTACGTTATATTCATGCACTGAAGTAGAAAGTTTAACTTAATAATTTTGATATGTTTTATGTTGAATGGTTTTTAATGATATTATTACAGTCTAATATGACCACAACATGAGGAAGTCCTCTCCTTTATACTTCTAACCTACTAAACTTTACGTATCTCAATATACATATATGTTAAATTAGTAACCTATATATAGTATAAAGAATTTTGTCTCTCAATTTCCTAAATTTTAGGAAATTGCGTTTTACGCATGCACCGACATGAGAACTTTAACCTAATAACTTTGATATGTATTTGTTTTATGTTGTTTGTTGAATGGACTTCTTTAACAATAATATTACAGTCTAATATGACCACAACATAAGGAAGTCCACTGTGTAAATGTTTAGCATAATATTGTACAGAGAATTCCTATTGTTTATCAATATCATCATGTTAGATCCAAATCACATTTTATGCAAGCATCGATGAGGAAAAATTAAACATAATAATTTTGATATGTACATGTTTTATGTTATGTGTTGATTGGTCTTAGTTAATAATAATAATAATAATAATATTACAGTTTAATGGCTTAATGTTAATAATATTACAGTTTAATGGTTTACAATAATATTACAGTTTAATGGTTTACAATAATATTACAGTTTAATGGCCCCGGAACCCTGAACCTCGACCTGGGGTCCTTGGCCCCCTAGTCCCAATGTTGTCAATGGAGTGGCCAGGACAGTTAAGGTGTTCGGCGACAGGTAACCTCTTGCTCTTTTTACGAACGGACTGTTTGTGGTGGTTAAACCGGAATCTGAATTTAGTTCCAGTTTCGCCTATAAGAGCAATGATCAGAGATATTGAGATATAGAAAATGTTCCAGGAGTCACATGTGAGGGGAGGGGGACTTGATAGAGGAAGAGGTGTGTTGGAGCCTAACAATAATGTCGGTGACGAGGTGTTTGCACACTTTACTGCATGGTTTGTCGCTCTTGATGCACTTAACCAAATACACAAAAGCATCTAGTAAATTGCGTACCTTTGACAGGGTTATCTGCATTGGTAGACACATAACCTACATCTGAGAAATTACCAAAGCCTTTCTGAGTTCTGGCTGCAACCTACATATTTGAAAGAATAAATCAGTATTACTACAATGGAAGATAGATAAATTTCAAACACATTAATTTTTGAGTACAATCGTTTTTGAGGCACAGTCAGTTTTTCGATTATAGTCAATTATTGGGCACACTCACATATTTAGGCAGAGAAAAATTTCAAAGCACAAGCATTTGGTTTTCATGCACAATCTATCTTCAGTTTGCAAGCTCAGTAGAAAAAATTTTAATTTATTTTAATTTATTATGTTGTTCATATCCCTTACCGTAAATGCTTAAATAAGTGCTGTAGCACTTACAAAATTTTTGGAGACTTCAGTGCAGCGCTTATTTGAAAGCGGCGCTTATAAAAAATGTCCTCTCCCATTATTTACATAGCTCACGTATTCCCGTAGTTCAGTAGGCCTATAATAGGTCTAACATTATTGTAAATAAATGTTTACAGAGAAATGCCTTTTGTCTTCATTGCGTTATTTATTCATTCTAACACTGTATACATTTTTTTTAAAACCCTGTTTCTCAAAGTGTTTCATTACACACAGGGTAATATAAACTCTCGATTAAACGCCACAGAGCTTAGTCGAGAGCAGTAATTAGCTTTAAAAATCCGGCTTGGTACGGCGCTTATTCGAAAGCTGCACTTATTCGAGCATATACAGTAATTTAAATAATATATTTTAATGATAATTATCTATGGTTAAAATCCACTCATTTGCAGATTGTTTTTACTACATTTTGTTATCTGTATTTTTATATACGATAATTTCATAATCTTTTATTATCTAAATATTCGTTTTGTAGGAAAATCAAAGTAAATAATAATATGTATGTTTTTATTAGGTTTACCGTGCTGCATCGCACAGAAAATAAATAATAGCATCAGTGCTCATCATCATCGTATTATTATTATTATTATTTTAATTATTATTATTTATTGTTATTATTATTATTATCATTATTATTACTTATTGTTATTACCATTATTATATTATTATTATTATTATTATTATTATTGTAATTGCACATTAGACCAATATCCAATGAAATTACATTATTATTATTATTATTCAGCGCATTCCACAACAAGCCGATATTAAAGTGTTTCATAGGGCACCCAACAAACTTCCACGGACTCTTCAAAAACACAAGGATAATCAACCAGCACAGAGCCAGTCAGGAGTTTATCGGATTCCATGCGAATGTAGGAAAGTTTACATTGGTGAAACAGAACATGATCTCCGTACAAGAAGGAACACCGATGCCATGCTAGGAGAGGGAAACAACAAAAGTCAACTATTATAGTCATGCACTCCCACAAACTGCATCATTGTGCATGTTGGGATAAAGCCGAACTAGCCACTGCACCATCTTGGCACTCCAGACTGACAAGAAAAGCTTTAGAAATTCACAAACACGATACAGTACACCAATATATCGGATTTGCCATCAGTGACATTTTGATTGTCCATGTTTAATGGGACCTAAACCACACATTTACCGCCACACTGGAAACGAAGCCATTGTTTTTGGTTTCCTTTCACCAAGCCACTAGAAACAATGCCACTATATGAGCTAGCCACGCCCCACCCTCATGCACAGACTGCGAATACTGTCTTTCAGATTCAGATTTATTGATTGATCATATAAAATACATGAAATTTGTTTTCCTGAGTTGTAATACATATAAAGTTCATTAAATTGCAAGTACACAAAAACATTCAGCTACATAAAAAGGTAAAGGCATTACTCTTTCGTATTAGCCTTTTCACACGTAGTCTCAGTAATTGTTTAGAAGGGTATTGAAGCAAACTCAATCAAAGTTTGAGACATTCTAAACTAACAACAGTTCTTTTCAGAACTATCCATTTGGTGTACATTATCATCAGCATCATCATCATTCTCAATAATAATCATCATCATCATAGCGGCAGTTTGGTGCAGCGGTTGAGGTTCAGACTTTCAATCGTAAGGTCGGGGTTTTGAGTCTCCGCTGTGCAGATTCGCTTGTGTCCTTGGGCAAGGTACTTTAACTACATTGCTTCAGACCACCCAGCTGTATCATTGGGTACCAGCAATTTGCTGGGGACTAACCTGCGATGGACTAGTGTCCTGTCCAGGGGGAGTACAACTCTCATACGCTTCACACTATAGAAACTGGGGATAAGCTCCAGCCCTATGAGCCCCAGTGGCTCGGAAAGGATTATTATTATTATTAATTAATTAACTCGTTTATTTAAATGGTATCAAACATAACCCTTCAAATAAAAGTTTCTTTTCGGTTGTCATTTGTATGAAGTAATGCCTCTGCAAAGATTCCAAGCCCAATTACCTAATTCGGTATAGGTCAGATGTAATCGCCAGACACTTTCTCTCATGCAACTGACGCAGAGTACGGGCGGAGTAAATATTTAAGAAAAGATTAAGCTAGGAAGTGATATTTAAATTATGTTTGCTGCTTAGACTTAAAACCCAATTGACCATGGAGTTAATTTTTTGTTGGAAATAGTTAGGAATTGAAAAAAACTTACATCATAATTATTAACTAAAAATTAAAGAAGCCCTTTGCAATTGCTCGGGGAAATCCTGTGATAAATTAACCAATTATATACATGACTTACCACAGTATTCAGCTTTAATATGCATAACCTACCTTGATATTGATTGTTTGCCATATATTATACCTATATAGCATACTCTAAGATTGACCGATGATGACGTGTGACATGTTGTTTATTAGTAACATATATTTTATTAGATATATTAATGCATTCGTACTATAGGTTTATAATTTATATTGCATACCTGGACAGTGTAGTTGGCATTCGGCATTATATTTTCATTAATTGTCAGTGAAGTCGCTGTGGTATCCATATTGAACTCTAAATTCTGTATATCACTATATACAAGCACATTGTATCCTAGTATTGTGCACGGATTATCATCAGATAATGTCAATTCCAGTGTGATTGATAAAGACGTTGATGTTAATGAACTAATGGTTGGTTTTCCAGGATCTGTGGGGAAATAAATTAATATAATAATAATAATAATAATAATAATAATAATAATAATAATAATAATAATAATAATAATAATAATAATAATAACAATAATAATAATAATAATAATAATAATAATAATAATAATACTACAATAATAATAATATTAACCAGAGCCCTTGCAGGCATCAACGTTCCTATGCATGATACATGACTTTATCAGAAAATATAAGGTTGGGTCAAATTTGTGTGGTGGTTTTTTTGTAGGCCTATGTATAGGTATACAGTATTTTCATTTTACAGTAGTTTGAAACGATATCGGGGTTGGGGGTGCTGGTATGGCCTACTAGACAACAATATATTAAATATAAAAACAAAAATATATTAAAACAATATTGTTTTTGTTTTATTTTTTTTTTATGTAATGTACCTTTCTGACTTATTTTGAATGTACCTGTCCTTGTTTTATTTTTTAATGTATTTAATTGTTTTGACTGCTTTTGTAATATCCAATCTATATTATTTTATGATTGCAATAAAGATGAGTTTGAATTTGAATTAGCAGGCATCAACGTTCCAATGCAGTATAATAGTGAAGTTATATGACTGAATTTAATACACGAAATATTACAATTTTAAAACATATTTAGGCCATTTGCTGTGTTATGCTGCGGTAGCGAAAATGTTGGCCTATAGGCCTAATTAATACATAAACTGTGATACTTTTATCAATATGGATTGTTTTTAACTTTCGCAGAGACGTCTTCAGGGAGGCGCTGCTTCCCTCATCCCCCTCCCCGACCCCTTTGTACACAGTTTTAATACAAATTCTTTCCTTAAATCACTCAGACCCTTTAATAGTGACCAATAAAACTTAAACTTATGAAGTAAACAGTTTGGGTCAAATGTCTGTGTACAAAAAAATATATAAGGCAAGAATAAAATTACAGTAACAAAAAGTGGTATAGCCGTATTAGTCAGTGTATAATTAATGAAACAAATGAGAGGGTAGCACTTATTTTTTTTTATAAATAAAATTCATCGTTAGTCAAAAAAGTGCTACCTTCTCATTTGTTTCATCAGTAATATAACAATATTTGGTTTTTATTTCAAAATTATTATTTACTAAATGCAGTATCAATAAACACAATACTTTGTTATGTTAGTACTATTTGCACTAATATGTTAATGACACCTTGATATTTTCCACAATGGCAATGTGGACCAGAATGACAAGATTGAGTGCAATGGGAATAAAGTGTTGGATGGAGTTAGTAAACTAATCCCAAGGGTACTATTGTCACTGTCAGTAAAACAAAATGTTGGAAATTTTCCCTGAAGATGTCTACACACACATACATACTCACACACGCAAAAAAGTGAATACAATAGTTCCTATTGCATTACATGCATAGGAACTAATAAAAATATTATTATTATTATTATTTAGTAGTGTATGCCTCAAGTGCACTAAATATTCTATTTTAAATGGATTTAATTTGCTACACCTCAAGAGGAAATGTTTGACATCTTCTTTGATAGTCGATATAAAGTGCAAATATCTATTATCTATATATTCAAAGAAATTATTTTCTCATTTACCGATAGTGTATTTGATCTATCTATAAATTCTAACCTAAAACCTATAAAGTCATTTTGATTTTTTAAATGATTTTCTACTTTTTATTATTTTTATGTTGTCAAGCATTGAATTAATGGTATTTAAATAGGAAGGATAACATACAATATATTATAAAGGGAAGAAATGTACTAAAAATTAAACAAAGGAAAATGGTAACAATGCTCTTTACATTCGTATAAAATAAAAAAGGCTTACAGTCAATACCAGACATGACCTCCATAATATTGGTGGTGCTGCTAACATTCATATACGATGCTGAAACTGAAAATGTGTACTGTGTACAAGGTACGATTCCATCATCTATAAGAACTTCAGTTTTTGTTGTACTTCCTTGATGGATTCCTCCTGATAGTTGATAATGGTAACTCAAATTATTCTGGGTGCTGTTACAGGCAGAAGCATTCCATTTCATCAATAAAAACATTCTTTCCAGTACTGAATCTCTGGTAACTGAGGGCGCTGTTAAAAGACAATATTGTGTTAATAAATATAAAAAATACTATAAAAGTGAATTATTAATTACAGTATAAAGATTATTAAATTGGAAATATTTACAATTTTTAAAAGATATTGCACAGATAAACATTACAAAAAAAGGACGGAGAGAACACGATAACGATTATATAACGAGCATTGAAAATAAGGATTAACAATTATTATTATTATTATTGACTCAATTGAAATATTGAAAATTAGAATTAGAATTATTTTTGCATATACATAAAAATACAAATAAATATACAAATATATAAAATACATATAAATACAAACAGAGCACAAAGTCCAACGGTAACAACATACATTAAAAAGACACTAAAATAGAAATCATAAACATACACTTTACTAAAACAGCAAGGATATAAAAAGAATCAAATAAAAAATAAACCAAGGAATTAACCCACCCAGAAAATAAGCCACTTAGGTATCATGATAAAGATTGTGATAATAATAATAATAATATGTGAAAGGTTATTAAAAAAGAGGGCACGATGGTGAACAACCATTTTTAGTGCAACTGACTCTGTTAAAAGGTACCATAAATAGGTCATTACGACGGCAGCCGGGTCTATTGATTTTAAGAGGGAATAGACAGCATAACTTGTATCAAAATTGAATTAACACATTTAATTACAGTACTGAATTCTCTGGTAACTGAGGGCGCTGTTAAAAGACAACATTGTGTTAATAAATAGAATCCACCAATCAATTTAAATATTCATAGTAAAAAATTAGAACAAAAGCCAAAAATCACAACTTCTAACTCTACATATGAGAAATTCATTTAATTCCATGCATTTGACCAATGTACATTTTCTATCCAACACAGCAATTGTTTTACTATAAATCATTGAGAATCTGCATGTAGATGTACTGTAGTTGCATAATAATTTATTTTATTTTATTTGAAACATCATCCAACAGCTACAGTAAAGCCATGATAGAGCCGGGTATATTGATTTTAAGAGGGAATAAACAGCATAACTTGTATCAAAATTGAATTAACACATTTAATTTAATTTTTTTTAAAACCATATCAAATACATTTCTCCTTTTCGATGGGGAATTTCACTTGTGGTGTGTCACAGGGCTCAGTATTGGGAACATTGTTGTTTTTGATTTATGTCAATTTGATTTGATTTGATTTATTTGCATTTCAAAATAGACAAAGATAAAACCAGTTACATGTAAAAAGCATTAAAAATATTCACTAAAATCCCAATGTAAAAAATATTACAAATTAAAGTTATTGCGAATAATTATTCAGTCTTCAAAGACAGTAAAATAGTACAGTAAATAAAAATGTACGTAAACAATTCAATAAAAAAGTCAAACCAGGAAGAACAAGGACTTTTTTTAAGGCAATACAAACAAGTACAAAAGGCAATAAAATGCATAAAAACAAATAAGGAACAAATAAGTGAGATGCAAGGATAACCCATGAACGTCCCGGTGTTCAAATGGGGTCCTCAGCAGGGATTAAGACTAAAAAATGGAACAAGAGGACAAAACAAGCAAGCAGGTAACAATCAAAGAACGAAAGAAAAATCAGTTTACAAAAGAAGCTATTCACTTTGCAATGTCCCTTAATTTTAATCTTAAAGCCCCATTCCCGGCAAAATTTCAATAAAAACTGCCTTTTTTTTAGAAAATATGCATTTGCATTACTCCAATTTTTATATATCATGAAAAAATTTTAGTTTTACACAAAAGAATAAAAATAATGAGAAATATGGACTATTTCTCAAAATATTACCATCTTCTCGACGAATTCATCGTTACTAGGCAAATTCAGAGGTTGTAGATCGCATCCACTGGAATACTCTCGCTTTTATTTATACTTTATACAGTCAATAAAGTGCGCCCTCTGTAAGGAGATTAGTTTTGTACTTCGCATCTCGCACAATGCGGTCGTTCGGTTAGGCTGAGATATGTTTGTTTAAGTGTCAAAATCTCAGTCAGAATCATTTTTTTAACAAATTTGAAATAATTCCTGTGAAATATTATATTCACAAGTGTCAATACTAGCAACTGAAAATATCATGT